ACAGAATTTCACAAAATTTTCTGTGCTGGAATTGTCAAAATGGACGCTGTTATCTTGCTTTTAATTATCGCTGGCGAAACACCTTTTTATGGTTTTGTTTTGAACACACTCCTTTAAAAAGTGATGCCACATGATTGTAAACAGAAAATAAGGTTATGTTTTCACAGAGATTCATAAGTGGAATTCACGCTTCTGTTTATTTGTTGTATCTTAAGTACATAAGTGTTAGTGAATGAGCGGGTGATTTGTTGTTGCTAGTGGTAAAATAAATACGCTTGCAACAATAATCACACGCTCATCTAGTTTCACTTACGCATTCATCGAATACACTGAAGACGAATACCACAGTAATATGTGTTCTTCCTGCAGCCGATTGAACCTCGATACACTAGTAATTTTAGGCGGGTTGAAACGACTTTTTCACGGACGAGAAAGGGAGAGAGTAATAGTTTTACTCAACAATTTTAGACGCCGAAAAATGCTTTGGAATTCGGTCTGAAACACATCCGTACATGTCTGATAAACTAATGTGTGTTTTACGTGTTGGTCTGCTCAGGCCCTCTGAAAATACCTTTGTTTGGTTGCCGGTCCAGTTTTTTCACACTTAATTTTAAGCCATTAGGTGTGTTTATCCAGTACAACATTGAATAATGGCTTTGAAAATACATTGAATATTGATTGCGTTATTTAAGATAAAGAAAAATATATATGTTTTAATATTGCTATCAATCTGCTTTGACACATCTCACAAGTACTTTTTCAGGGCTCATTTCCTAAAGCATTGTTTTATTCCTTTAAAACACAATTATTAGTTGCGTTCCCCAACTTTCCTGGTTTAAACCCGTAAAACTGTCAAAAAGCAAAATAATCCAGGGTACCGAGTACGAGAACGCTTTCGGGCCAAAGAACGTAAATGTATAAGAAGCGACAACTCGTTACTTTGAAAATGTGTCGCGACGATTTTGACCGTATCTGAAAGGTTGAGAAAAAGAACGTAATTTCATTTACATTTACATTTACGTTCTTTGTTTTTGGCGATTTTTTTTCAAAAACTGTGCTTTTTTTAAATAATCTGGACACCCTGCTTATCAATTTCTTTCAGCTCGTGACAAAGTGAACAAACCTAGTAAAAACAGCTGATACACAAAATGAAAAAAAATAACAATAGCAAGTTGAATTTAACAAATTTGGACACGAGAGATAAGTTGCTTTTGCGAACACGCGTCTGTTAAATTATGGCTGGGCTTGTGCACTTGGCGCGATTGTGCAGTAAACAACAGCAAATAACAACAAATAGGCGTTTCTCTTGCATTGTTGGAAAAACTTGCAGCGTACTTAAAGCGCATACACATCGTCAATCGCCTGCACACTTGGTAAGCAATTTTTTTTATTCACTTCCGTCAAACTCAAGGCCATACCATGCGACTATCTTAAATTTCGTAACATTAGATATAATCACCATTTGATACACGTAGCATGATCAGGCATAACCATATTGTTGATAATGCGCTTCTGGAGTGGCCAGTCAAACAGTGTTTGCGAATGTATTGTTTTGGCCTTCCGTTTAGTAAAATATATTAAATATACATAAGATAGTGTATGCAGTTATTTACGGTTTTCCACTTATCTATTTCTCGTTGCAGAATTGTTAAAACTACTAAAAAAACAACCAGAAAATATTTTATAAATTAAACCAAAGTAAAAAGGCCAAAGCAATACCCCTCGAACACTGGTTGCCGTGAAGCTCAGAAGCAACTCAAGACTTAATTAGATTACACTGCAGCGGAAGAGGGAGATCTAGGACAAACCATCTTTTTACTTATAAGAATTTTGGCCAAATAAATGAAATGGGCAGAACAAAACGCTCCAGGCAGCGCAAAATGCGTATTAGAAATACATGTACCAGCTCGAAAGATGTGCTGACGCCATTGCTACATCAACTGCACTGGTTGGGCTGCACAAATACAAACGATCTTACAGCTTGCGACTTTCTCACATTAGGTCGCGGCATTTGTTCAAAAACGCGAAAATTCCGTGCTGGTGATACGCTCATAAGCTTACCGCTCAAATGCTTAGTAACAATATCAACACTAGAAGACTCAGCGCATTTCAAAGCTCAATTTGACGCCTCAAAATTCAATAAGGAACAAAAAGTACCTTATCAATCACTCCTTGCCCTTTATATATTGCACGAGAAGCACTTGGAAGGTGCATCCCATATAAACGCTTATATAAACTCTATACCCAAGCAGTTTAGCAACACCTATTTCTGTCCAATAGCTGAATTGCAGCGCTTGCCAGAGGAAATTTTGGAAAAAACCGTTGAGCAAAATCGTGTCATTCGTGAAAGTTATGCATGCTTAAAAAGTCTTTTCAATAGCACTCAATGTAGTTATTGCCGACAGCCTTACTTTGAAGAAATCTATACCTTAGACGCATTTAAATGGGCTTACTTTGCTGTAAATACACGCAGTGTTTATGTATTTAGCCGCCAATTCAAACCAGATAAATGCTTCTTTCAGCCGCTCTTAAGTGACGAGCCAAACATGGCCTTAGCACCATTCCTAGACTTGTTTAATCATTCAGTTGATGTGAGTACCAGTGCCGATTTGCTGCCAACTGGTCCCAATAAACAACTGGAATTTGTTTTGACTTTAGAAAGCACAAAAGCTGTGATTGAACCACGTTCGCAGCTGTTTATTAGCTATGGATCGCTATCAAATTTCAAATTACTAACCGAATATGGTTTCTACATAACACATAATCCACACGATTATTTCGTCTTTTCACTAGCAGACATTGAGGAGTTTTTAAAGGAAGATAAAATGAATAGGAATTTAATGCTGCATCGCAATAAATTTGCCTTTATACGCAATCACAATTTGTACGATGAGATGTTTGTGCATTTGGACGATGGGGCTTCACATAATTTATGTGTGGTGCTACATTTGCTGGCACACGAAGAGAGTATCTACCCGAATGTGTTGAATCAAGTTGCATTTGGGGCAGCTGAGAATCTAGCCAATGTCGTAGAGGAAGTACGCGCACTTGTAACATATAAAATAAATGCATACAGAACTTTCAAAGGTGATTTGGAAAAACTTCCCACTTTGAGTGAAAGCGGAAAAGTAGCGAAAGGTTATTTAGAAGAATGTATAAGATTTTTAGAAGAATATTTAGATACGAATTGCTAAATATTGTAAAGTAATGCTTAAGAAAATATGTTAGTTTTATGTTTCCTCTTTGAATAAAACAAATTTCTTTTGTATTAAAAATGTCTTTAATTCTGTTACAGTAAATTTTTCGCAATATGTATATGAGCAATTTTCATTCTGATTTCTTTTCGATAATTTTTTTTTCATAAAAACATAATTCATACTACACCAAAAAAACATAAAAATTAAATATCTAAACTTTGTGCAAACCTCAGGAATTTAATAAAGAATTTTTTTTTGCGGACGCGGTTATTATTTTATCCCATGCAATATTATTCTTCCATGGAAGAAACTGCGTGAAAAATTGCCAAAAATTAAAATTATTCTATATTGCAGTTCTGCTCCAGTCGCTCTGTAGCCGACAGCGATGATGTTGCGAAAACGCAAAAGAAGAAAATCACGCCATTCACCCCCACGCCAGGGAACAAGCTACTTGGTGGTGTACTGGTGAAGAAAGTGCCCAAAGGTAACTAAGATTCAATAAGACAGTGTTTAAACGCATCATCGAAACCAATGGCTTAGTGTTAAATACAAAATAAAAAGAGAAGGTAATAAAGTCCTTGTGAGAGCAGATGTCAAAATGGTATAGGTGTCAGTTGGTAGTATTACCGAAAAAGGAGTGCATGCCGATACATATACATTTGTACATACATTTACAATCGCACTCGTAAATGTATTTAATTTACAAGAATTACGTTAAGTTTGCAATGCCGTTTCCTTTATATTGAGTTGAAAGTTTTAAAGAAATTATTTAAATTGCAGGCATGCATATTGTAAGTCCTGTGCATTTCCGGCTCTTAATCAAAGTAGAAATTTCCAAAATTTTCTCATTTAAATAATTTCTTCCCAATTGCTTTGATTTCCTGCTTTGTTGAATTTTTCGTTCCATGGTCATTTTATACAATACTTAAAGGTATACTAATTTTAACCATATTGTTTCTTTCCCCCTTGTTTGTGTCATTATACAATTTCTGATTTTCTTTTTTTTTGCAATAAATTATATATGTATTTACTTACGTAACTTACGTTCCAGAGCTAACTGTGCTAACATTTTTCCTTTAGTTTTTTATTAATCATCAATCAAACGCTTACTGTTGTTGTGTGCCTTTGTTGGGGTCTTACTTTTGAATTCAGTAACTCCCCGCAGGTCCAGCAACAACAGCGCAGCGGCTTCCATTACGAAATTGTCATGTTCATTTAGGCGGCACTGATGGGGGCAGTACTCTGGGGAAACTCGACGCGCCGGAGGTGACGTCACAAGATATGATGCGTGCAATGATGCACTACATCTGGCCAAAGGAGGATGCGCTTGTGCGAAAACGGTACTTGCCCCGAAGCCTTTTACATGCGTAGTTCCTTTTTTTTTTAATTATAAATTTTTTCTCACTTCTCAGTGTGGCTATCTCCTTGAGTCTGCTGGTTGGCTCCAAATTGATGACGGTTTGTGTGCCGTTTCTGTTTAAAGGTGCCGTCGACACGCTGAATACGATGAATACCTTAAATATGGATACACCGCCCGATACGGTGCTATCCGTAGCCACTGCCATGCTGCTAGGATGTAATAAACACCGTTTAACTGCTTACTACAAGATCATGAATGTATTGAATACACTAAATACTTTTAGATGGTGTTGCGCGTGCCAGCGCTGCTGCCTTCAATGAGCTGCGAAACGCAGTCTTCGCCAAGGTGGCACATCATTCCATACGGAAAATTGCAACGAACGTGTTTTTGCATTTGCACAATTTAGATTTGGCATTCCATTTGAATAAGCAGACTGGCGCCTTATCCAAGGTAAATTATTAAGGTGTAATGCTCGCGGAAACTTTCCAATATATGTTAAATTTATTCAATACAGACCATTGATCGTGGCTCGCGTGGCATAAACTTTGTGCTTAGCGCTATGGTTTTTAATATTGTGCCAACAATATTCGAATTGGCTTTGGTATCCACCATCTTGGGAACTAAGGTAAGCAAACTGCCGCAAATACATACATATATTCGTAAATCACTTTTCTATATACAAAATCTAATCCAGTGCGGTTTAGCATTTGCCGGCGTGTCAATGGGTTGTGTTGGCATCTATGCTACATTCACGCTAGCTGTGACGCAATGGCGCACTAAATTTCGCATCTACATGAATCAGGCCGAGAATGAAGCGGGCAACAAAGCTGTCGATTCACTGATCAATTACGAAACCGTCAAGTATTTCAATAATGAGAAATTCGAGGCTGGCCGATATAATGAGGTGTTGAAGAAATACGAGGTGGCTAGTTTGAAGACGAGTACCAGTTTGGCTATGCTGAATTTTGGACAAAATGCTATCTTCAGCTCAGCACTTAGTGTCATCATGTTGCTGGCTGCCAATGAGATAGCAAAGGGAAATATGACAGTGGGTGATTTAGTGATGGTTAATGGCCTGCTATTTCAGCTTTCCATACCACTAGGTTTCCTAGGTAGCGTGTACCGAGAGGTACGCCAGGCGCTGCTTGACATGCAGGCAATGTTTACGTTAATGAATGTCGACACGCGTATAGCCTCAGCACCGAATGCACCCTACTTGGCGGTTGGCTGCGAGAATGCATCAATTGAATTCAAAAATGTCAGTTTCGAGTATGAGCCGGGCAAACCCATCTTCAAAGATATGTCTTTCAGCATACCAGCGGGCAAAACAATTGCCTTCGTTGGTGGTTCTGGCTCGGGAAAATCGTCGATGGTGCGCCTACTCTTTCGTTTCTTCGAACCTAACGCGGGTAAGATATTCATTAACGGACAAGACATCAGCGAAGTGGATTTGGACAGTTTGCGACGTGTCATCGCTGTAGTACCGCAGGTACAGTAACTTAATTTGTGTCACTTAAGTTCTACTACATTGTTTTGTGTAGGACTCAGTGCTCTTCCACGATACCATTCAACATAATATACATTACGGCAACTTAAACAAATCGCAAGAGGATGTGGAAAATGCAGCCCGCATGGCGGATTTGCATGACTCCATTATGAGTTGGCCCAAGCGATATGAAACCCAGGTGGGCGAACGTGGCTTAAAGCTATCGGGCGGCGAGAAGCAGCGCGTGGCCATTGCGCGTGCCATACTGAAAAATTCACCGATTCTCATATTCGACGAGGCAACGAGCAGTCTGGACTCTATAACCGAACAGGTATTGGAAATTTTGAATAGTTTTTTAATCGTTAAGCTTTACTTTCTATCCGATTTCCTCTAGCATATTTTGCAAGCCCTATCACGCGCAACTCAGGGCCGCACTAGTATATGCATAGCTCACCGGCTTTCCACCGTCATGGATGCCGATGAGATATTCGTATTGGAAAATGGCCGAATCGGCGAACGTGGCACACATGCAGAGCTTTTGAAGAAGAATGGCCTATATGCGCGTCTATGGGAGGCGCAAACGCAACAATTCTGACCTGAAACATCCGATCCGTGACTGCCTTTTGGTTGTTTAAATGTCATGTAATTTTATTGTTGTTGATTTACAGAGAAGCTATTTAATGATTCATTGTCAGTATGTAGTTATGTATGTTTAAGCATCAAACTTAGAGAAAACCACAACAATGGGCCGTATGAATGAAAACAAAGCAATTGCTCTTTCTTAAAATTGCAGACCTTTTTTAACCGACTTCCAAAAAAAGGAGGAGGTTATCAGTTCGTCGGATAATTTTTATTTTATTTTTTAAATTTATTTCAATAAATCGAGTAATCTGAAATTTCAAGAAAACACAATTGCTTACAGTTTTTATTCATACGGATATCATAAACACTAACAAATGCACACATCAACTAACTAACCTATACCCATTGCCGTGTATGTATTTGTAGTCAACTTAAAGTCGACTTTAAAATTATTGGGGCATATTCTTGTCTTTGTACGAATCGAAAATCATGATAATTTCTTATCATTTCCCATACAAATATTTCAAATTTTCGATTTGTACCAAAACATGAATACGCCTCATTAAGAAACTTTTGAATTGCTTCTGAGTTAAAAATTCGTTTCAAAAGCTTTTGCCATTTCAACTGGCGGCAATTGTGTATAGGCCTGAAACCTTGTTAATAAACACAAACACACACACATGATTTGTATTGTACTGCTGTCGTTTTAAGGTGAAAAATCGCAGGCAGTTGCAAATAGATAGACACTAATGAGAATTGCTGTATCACCACCCGGTCTAAACAATGATTTGTTAATAAGATTCCTGTGAGAGTGCCAGCCCAGTGCTGTATTGTAAATAGAGAAATACAAAAAATATATAAAAAAGGTTATAAACAATAAAAACGTAGAATTATTTCTTGTTAATTTTTATATATTTTTTTTAATTTGTATACAATTTAATAACTTTATTATCCATTTATCACACAATTTTAACATTTTGATCTAAAATGCTTTTTTTTCGGCAAAGCGGTTTTCGAGGCAGTTTATGCTAAAAAAAAAAATCTCTAGTTGCGCTCACGTACTTCCATAGGTATTGGCACGTCGTAAAACAAATACAACACACAATTAGCCATATGCTTAAGGAATTGTTTATAGTTTTTTACGCGACTCTTAAACTCATCCCAAAGTGGCAACAACGGTTTGGGTTCTTTGCTGCTGTAATCATCGATCAGCAACTCATTATCGATCATTGTTTTGTTCTGAGGAAGAAAATAATGCCTATTAGTTGGTTTGAAACTCAACCCACCCCTCCTCCTACTCAACCCACCCCTCCTCCTACTCACCATGAAAGTGTAGAGATATGAAGATGGCTTCTGTCCGATTGTTGTTATATGATGTGTCTCTCCACTTTTCAACACAAAACTCTTGCCAGCCGTTAGAAAGTAAAATTCATCCTCATCGTCACTTTTATAGCGCACGTTTCCCGCCAGAATAGTGAGCGTTACATTTGTCAATTCCGGCGAAATATAATTGTCCAACGTTAGCCCCGGAAAGTCGGCTACGAAAATCACATCAGAGTAATTACTCCAACCCAAAACCTCATTCGTCATAGTCTTCAATTTTGGGCGCATATAATTCAACTC